TTCTTGTTGGTTGTTATCTTAATACATATTTTTCACAACTCAGATGTAGGTTTCATTTTTAGAAACTACACACTATATGTTTTTAAACAATGATTTATTTTGAAAACTTTTCAGACTAGTTTTACAGCTATATCAGAAAATGAATGATTGTTTGGTTATTTCATTTACCAAAGGTAATTGAAGCAGATATTTATGAAGTCATTGAGAGGTGAACTATCTCCAATTCAACAGGTTAATCATTACTATTTGGAGGATTTTCTTGCCAGGCTGTATTAGGAGGAGAACACCACCAGACAGACATTTAAATTGTTTTAACTAAAACAACATTAAGTATTTCGGATTTTTTTCTTCAACAGCAAACATATAATATTTTAACAAAACAAGCATATGTCCCTCACTTCTCACATTTATCTCCAGACTTCTCCTTGTCCAGATCTGTTCCGCCCCCAACAATCTTCTATTTATTGAACTTTTAGAGAGAGAGGTAAGGGATTGACACTGTACAGAAATTTGCAGAGGGATAATAGAGTTGAGATCTGTTATTTCTCACGTCTCTCTATATATATTTATCTATTTATTTAAAACCATTTTTGCTGTTAACAAGCATGTTACCTCTGGAGACAGAAATCCACAGTTTGAGAACTGCAAAGCTAAGCATCTCTGATGGTATCTTCTAGACTGAGCACTGAGTCCCATTGGGTAGATAGAAAGATTAACCTAAATAATCTATACGAAGTCTGTAGAACCCCATAAGATTGCGTCCCTAATCCATGAACTATTAGAACTCATTTACAAAACTTTTCTTAAACATTACATGACTATATTGTTTCGTACTATAGAATTAGAATTTATAATCCCTGTTCCATGATGAGATATTGTAGGACTCATGAATGAAATTGTTTTTAATTGTTTACTTTATTAATGTAACTTCATAAGTAAAGTTTTATGAATGAAACAATATTCATTCATAAAACCGGTTACCCCAATAACTGGCTAATTAACAGTTAAGATGCTTGTTAAGAGCCATAGCTGTTCAGTCAGCTACCTTTGTAAGTTTCACTATCAATCCAGTTCCTGCTTAAATCACTGAGACTTGGGGTACGTCTACACTTACATCCGGGTCCGGATGTAAGCAATCGATGTTCTGAGTTCGATTTATCGCGTCTGGTTAAGACGCGATAAATCGATCCCGGATCGATCCCGGAAGTGCCCCGGATCGATCCCGGAAGTGCTCGCCGTCGACGCTGGTACTCCAGCTCGGCAAGCGGAGTACGCAGCATCGACGGGGGAGCCTTCCTGCCGCGTCTGGACCGCGGTAAGTTCGGACTAAGGTACTTCGAATTCAGCTACGTTATTAACGTAGCTGAATTTGCGTACCTTAGTCCGAAGTGGGGGGGTTAGTGTAGACCAGGCCTTGCACTGTTTCAGTATTGTAACTTCTGTTCACCATTTATTACCCTTGCCTACAGTGTAACTTCTGTTCACTGTTTGCCATATTGTAATTCAAACCCCATTTTAAAACACTTACTCCATTTTGTAGGGGCTTGCTGCAACCTTCATTTTTGCAAACCCTGCTGTAATCTTATTAGTTTAGTTTAGATGTGTGAATGAGGTATGTATGGATGATGGAATCAACCTCCAGCCCCAGCCTGTCCTGATTAAATAGAGTTCAAACACCAGCGGCTGAAGATGCAGACAAGAGCCCTAACAAAGTAAGAAAAATCCACCCTAAAAAGAAAAGGTACAATAGAAAGAAGATCAAAGCCCGGTCCCAGGCTGAAAGTCATGTCTGCAATTGACAGGTGATCAATCACCAAACCCAGAGGCAGCGTGACACAGCAAGACCTATAGACTCTGGATTCAAACTAAAGCCTACAAAAAGGATGGGTGAGATGGAAAACTTTGGAGGAGGGTAACATTTTGCTGCCAACATGGAAGGGCATCGGTGCATGCCCAACAGAGACCCAGCTCGTCCTTGTGCCCGGCTTTCCTGGCCAGTTAGCCGCCACAAGCTACGAACCCAAGCTGCAAACTCAAGCCACAGACTCAAGCAGGACTGGTAACTATGCAGCAGCTGCAAAATATCTGATGGGTGTGTGTGTGTAAGTGTGTGTGTGTGTGTGTGTGTGTGTTTATAGGTATTAGGTATAATGTGTGTGTATAAGGATTAAGATATTAGTTATTGGTCATAAATCAAATTGTTATCATAATAAATGTGGCATCTTTGTCTTGACCCCTAAAACGATCCTGTATAAATTTGTGGGACAACAATATCTTTGAGCTATAATATAGGTTTTTTCCTTAAAAAGCGTTTTATCAAAAAATCCGATTTTAAAAACTAATTTAATTTTTTTTAATTGTTTTTTATCCACTCTGTGGTCCTGTAATTGAAGACTGTATCATCATGTGTATGCACAAGGGTCGAATTAAGGTTGCATAGATAAGGAGCAACCTTAGTTCTGGCACTTTCTAGTTTTTTCGTGATTGACTTCAGAACCTTAATGTTCTTTTAACATAGTTGTTTGCTGTTGTTTGTAATTTTATTAATAGGATAGTGAAACACTGTTACTGTGCCCAGGTTCTAAGCCCTAGTTTAATGATGATGGTAATTCTGAAACTGTTGCTCCAGCAGTGGCACTGAACTTGCATTTGAGGCATGACCAGAATGTGCAACACCTTCTGTTTACTGGTGGTGCTGCTTATGAATGTTTTCCCCATGGAACATACACTGTGTTTCCATTCATGTACAGTGGAAGGATCTCTGTGACTTGAGGTGGAGATTGCAAATGAACAGCTGCATCATTCCACTCAGACTTAAAATAAAAATCATCAATCTGGCACTTACTTGGGCATTCTCTGATGGCTTGAGATTCAGTAGTTGGGAGGCAGTACAGCTAGGAGGGGGACTGCTTATAGAAAAGTAACTCCTAGGATAAGACTCCAGGCTTTTGAGTTATTTTTGTTCTAAAATACTTGGTGATCCGCTGCTTTACCCTTCGGCTGTCTAAGGCCCTGATCCTGAAAACGCTTTAGCATGTGTGTTAACTCCTGCAAGTAGCTCCTTTGACTTCTATGGAACAGCTCACATGAATAAGGTTAAGCATGTGCTTAAATGTTTACAGGATCAGGGCCTAAATAGCTTCCATTATCCAGCTATTCATTGCCTCCTTGTCTGTAGTCTTGCTTTAGAGGGAGGTGAGGTGGGTGAGATAATATCTCTTATTGGACCAGATTCTGTTCACATCCTATGGATGGGTTTTTGATTTATAGGAGTTAGATTGGAAAAAAGACCTATTTGATCGACCGTTCCAGTTCCCGGTCAATACAGGATCACTTTAGCCTGTCTAGTTGTAAATCTCCCACAAGTGATGGGGCTTCAGCTACTTCCCTTGGGAGGCTGTTCTAAAGCCTGGTCTACACTGCAAAGTTAGGTTGACATAAGTTACCTTGTGTCACATTATTTGTGCATGTGTCTACACTCCAATTTGTCTCCAGCCGATGTAATGCAAGAACTAGGGCTCACCAAATGAAATTAATAGGCAGCAGGTTTAAAACAAACAAAAGGAAGTATTTCTTGACACAATGCACAGTCAACCTGTGGAACTCCTTGCCAGAGGATGTTGTGAAGGCCAAGACCATAACTGGGTTCAAAAAAGAACCAGATAAATTCATGGAGGATCGGTCCATCAATGGCTTTTAGCCAGGATGGGCAGGAATGGTGTCCCTAGCTTCTGTTTGCTAGAAGCTGGGAATGAGCGACAGGGGATGGATCACTTGATGATTACCTGTTCTGTTCATTCCATCTGGGGCACCTGGCACTGGCCACTGTCAGAAGACAGGATATTGGACTAGATGGACCTTTGGTCTGACCCAGTAGGGCCATTCTTATGATGTAAGTGCCTTGTTATGTCAACACAGTCAAACCACCTCCCCAAATGGTGTGGAACCATGCTTGTCCTACTGAGGTCAATGCAGTGCGAGTGTAGACACTGCATGACCTGTGTCAACTCTAACAGACTTTCAGCATCTGTCCCACAATGTCCCATTCTCTGGAACAGTGACCACTCTGGTTACAATTTTAAACTCCACTGCCTAGGGGTCACAGAGACCAGAAGCCACCCCCTCCTTTCAACATCCTCCCTCCCCCTCACATGTTGCGATACCTTTTCCTGAGTACAGATGTTGGTAAACGCACCTAGCAGCTCTCCCTTCTTGTGTGCATCTGCCCAGCCAACTGTGCTGGCCCCACACAGACAGAGAGGTATTAGATGTGCTCCAGGCTGGAGTAGACAGGTGCTTTGGATCTCCTGGGCCTGTGGGGAGAAGAGATTGTGCCGCATGAAAGTGAAGGAACTTCACAGGATGCCACAAGGTCAGGGAGCGCCACAGTAGATCTGGTGCTGCGCCTCAAACCTGCTGCTTCTACAAGTTACTGCATGGCATACTTGGCGGAGACCCCACCAGCACCCCGCAGACCACTGTGGATACCTCCGAGGAGCCCAAGACAGAGACCTGTACAGCGAGGAGGAAGGAGTGTGAGGGAGACACAGCTGGGGATTCCAGTCATGCAGCAAGCCAGGACCTGTGTGAGACTGACACAGTTTAGCCAGTGCCACCAGGTGAGCGTTGATGAGCCTGATGAAGGGGAAGGGAACTCGGTTAAGTGTGTACATGCATTTTTCTGTACGTTCTTTAAATTTAAAGATGGAACCAACCCCAAGTTAACAAGAGACAGGTATCGACTTTTCATTTGCTCATACAAGAGGAAGTAGTGGTACAGAAAACATAGGTAGAGTTATCTACTTGTCCCCAGCCTAACCCTACAGGGTAATGACATGTGCAGCATCTTGGTGTTGTGCATAGGGATGTCCCTTTTATCCTCCTGAGAGATCTTGATGAAACTTTCATGGAGGTACTCTGCAATCCTTTCCCAATGATTGCTAGGGATGGCAGCCTTATTTCTTCCTCCATGGCAGGACATTTCCCCATACCATTCCGTGATGACTTTAGCTGGCACCATTGCAGTAAACAGGCTAGCAACATATGGGTCTGGGTTGCTTCAGGAAGCCAGTAGTAGCTGTGCTCTCTGTGCCTTTGATACCTGCCAGAGTGAGACATCAGCTTAAAGCACCACTGCCTGTGGAAAATAGTGCCAGTGCTCAGTGCCCTATACTACTTACGGAATAGGGACCAAAATTATATAGCTTCATACGACGGAACATCCCCCACCCCTGGCACGCCGTACTCACCATGTCTGGGATTGGAGAGTGGTGCTGTGCAGAGTTGCTCCAAAGCAGAAGGGCCAATAAGCATGTCTTTTAAAAATGTTTATGGGAATAAGGGAAGGGAGTTTTGAAACTTATCTTTCCCTTTCCCTTGTGTCTGTAAATCCAATGGTACATCTGTCTGTTTTTATCAGCACCTTCTAGGGTGGCCGCCTTGAGGAGTTCCCCCTCCACACCTGCAGAACGCCTGATCCTGATGAGGAGGAGGAGAAAGAAGAAGACTGAGGCAGACGTATTCTACAAGATCCTGCCAGACAGTGCTGCATCGGACCATGAACAAAGGGCTCGGAGAGCCTGTACGACCAACAGCATGGAGAAAGACACAGGGGACAGGAAAAAGGCCCAGGAGTCCAAGCAGGATAAGGAGTGGGAAATGCGTTAGGACATAATTGGTCTTCTCAGACAGCAGATTCAAATGCTGCTGGTTGTCCTGCAGGTCCCAAAATCTTGGATTCTCCATCCTTTGCACTATTTGGAGAACTTCATGGTCACTGTTCCTACACCCCACAACATACCACATGGCATCACGGGGCGGATCGTTGCCTCTATCATTCCACGCGGGGAAGGAGGGAGGTGGGGTAGCAAAGAAAAACATAGCTTCACATACACTGACCTATGAGGACCACGACTGGTATGTGTGTTTCCAAAATGGACTACATTTGTGCATTCAAATGGACATAAAATTAGAAAGGAAGTAAACATTTGTTTTCACCTTGTTATGTTACACATTTGTATTGCATTGCTTGTGGGGGGTTTTGTACAGTTTTTCCCACTTAATAAATGTTTTTGGAGAATCAAATGATCTTTATTAGTTCACAACAAATATTGCAGAATGCATAGCGGTATTCAAAGCAAACAGTCCTTGTAAATGTACAGCAAGCACCATAGTATTCATAGCTCCAGGAAAACACCCAGTCATATTTATGAATATATAGCAAGCACTACACAATTCTGAGCAGCACCTGAAGTTCCAGGTCCAGAGAACACTACATCACAGAACACTACTGTGGCTGACTGCTAAAGGGCTCTTTCAAAGCCTCCTTCACTCCATAGCGCCATGTTGAGCTCTTGTAATAGCCCTTGAATCTGGCTGTTCAAACTCAGCAGTCAGCTGCTTCATGTCCGTCCTCCACCCTAGCAGCAGCTTATCCCCCTTTGTCTCACATGCTGGAAACTTGACTCCCTAGCTCCCAGAGATCCCTGAGTGAATCATTTCTATCCCACAATATATTGTGAAAATTTCCCAAAAGGCATTGCACTGGATGGCAGTGTGTGTCACACTGAAATACCTACCCGTAGTGCACCACTCTTTACATCAACACAAGCACTCCTGGTGAGTACGCGCAGCAGCAACACAAGCAGCAAAGTGTGCACCTGTGCCAGCGATATACAAACTTCAGTGGCTGTACATCAAGGTAACTTTCATCAACCACAGTTTGTAGTGTAGACATGGCCTTGTTCTGAAGTGCTGCCAGGATGTTTTCCTCAAGTTCATTTTAGGTTTTCCTTATTTGCACCCTTTTATCCTAACTGCACCTCATTAAATACCTCCCCCACCCTTGGAGTTTGCACTCTTATCACATTTCCCTCTCCCTAAGTGGTACTCTTGAATTGTGTGTGTTTGCCTCTCAATCTTTCCCTCTAGCATTCTGAGAGTTCTTGTTGCTCCTCTGAGCTCCTTCCATTTTGTCTTTGTTACTCTGTTGCACTTCAGCTCATCTACAACATGGAGTTGTTCCTGATTAACTTTGAAAGTGGGTTAAACGAAATGGGAATGAAGCACTCTTAATGCCATTGGTGGGCACTCTCTTTCTGGAGTGATTTAGGAAGAGCTATTGCACTGTAAATTCACACCCTACCTTAATCCACATTAACTTTAAGGGTGGCTGGACTCTTCTTTCTTTCTAGTAATATTGTGCCCAGCCCTGAACATACTCCAGGTGCTGTCCTCCCAGAGCCATGTTAACTGTTCCCTTTTTGGTCTGTGACATGCTGTGTGTGTAGACAGCCTAAAATCGCATTGGCTCCTCTTGCTGTCATGTTGCATTGCAAATACACATTGAATTAGCTGTTGTTATCCCACCCACTGTCTAGGGTGGAAGGTTGGTTGTTTTTTAAATAGTGACATGCATGGGTCCCAAAGTAACTGCTTGCACCCCCAATAATGGGATCCTAGAACTGGCCCAGTTCCTGGGTTTCTTTCTCTAGTGCTTCCATCACCATAGTCTCTCAGCAGCTCTATGTTTCCAGGTTACTCCTGCCCATTGTGTACTTATTTGACTCATTCCTTTTCTTCTCCTCCTCCAGTGTACTAGATTTCATTTGATGCTGTCTCTCTTCCCTTCCCCTACCCCCCAACTCCCTTTTCCTTCTTATTTCCTTCAATTCTGGCTAAAATCTTCTCTCAAGATACACTTTAGGAATTTTTTATTTAGGTAATATGATCCCTCATTTCCTGATAGCTGCAGTAGAGAATTTTAAAACACAAACTACAGTTAGAAAGAAATTGGTACTGCTCTTGATTGGAGAGAGTTTGCTTGTTGAGGACTCTAGAGCCAAATGCCAACAGGGAGAAGACAGCAGTAACTTGAGAAGCCTGCAAAGGTTAAGAATCCATCAGATATCCACACCAAATGCATTTTAGTTATCACAGATGTCAAGCAATGGTGTTGACACTGTTTTTGTGAAGTCCTCCGGGGCAATTGCCCTCTTTTGCAGCACAGGGACAACCTTGGCACACGCCAACCTGCACCAGACCCTTGTTCCACCTCCTGCAAAACCACCTGCTGAGGTGCTGGCTGCACTTCCCCACATCTTTTCTTCTATGGATTCCTTGTCCGTAGCCACACAAAGTCATGGGACCCCCTCGTTCACCTTCTCCTGGCATTGGCTGGGATGGCCATCCAGCTGGCCGGGAGGTGGACGCTCAGTGGGGAGGTTTTCTGTTGCTGTGGGGCCTACTGTTCCCTAATTGTCTCTCACATCTGGGCAGAATTCTTCTGGGTGATTTCCACTGACTCCTTTGCGGAGCAGTTGGTGGTGTTCAGGGTTCGCTACTTGGTGCCCTGCATCCAGTATCCTTGTTTTTAATCTCATCCCCCAGCTTTCCTGATTTACCATTTGTTTTTCCACTGAATCTATTTTCTGGGGTCTGTGGCCCCTCCCTCAGCTGAGGGTGTGAACGTTTTGTCCTATGTTGACTTGGGCCCACCCTTCCAGAATTAAAGTAGGCCATTGCCTTTCAGCTGCATTAAATTCACTCAATTTAAAAGGTCTGTTTCAATTGGACAAGTATGCTGCTTCTTTGTCCATTTTGTGTTTTGACTTCTGACCTACCACCTGATGCTAAATAAAGATGATTGTGTGTGTGTGTGTGTGTGTGTGTGTGTGTGCGTGCATGCGCGGAAATGTGGAAAGGTCATGCTTGAAGGTGAATGACCTAAAAACAATACCCGCATGCACGAAATCTGGTTGAAACAAGGAAATAGGTGTACGTGGGAACAGGAAAGCATCTGTCTGGTTAAAGTGTACTGTTAACTCAAAAGTAATATGTTGTAAACAAATATCTGTATCTTGGTGCTAACAACAGTTTAGATTATTAAAAGTGAAAATTATAAAAGTCCAATTCATTGGTCAGTTTGTTACTCTCTTCTCTCTGTTTAGAGAATGAAAATGAAGTCAGTATCATTTTTGTGTGTGCAGTCAGTTTCTCTTTCAGGTTCCCAGCACTGCAGGGTTTCAGACACTGTGGGGAGGCAAAGTGAAGGGGTTGATAGTTTTAAAAATACTTTTAATTGATTTCCCCCCCTCAAAATTACAAAATGTAAAGTGCAGTGTCCCTTTAAAAACACAGAAGTAGGACTGTAGAACAATCTGGATTCTGTTCCTGGCTCTGCCAATGACTTCCTGTGTAATCAGTCTTTGCCAAGTCACTTAAGGTCAGATTCTAGTACCCGTACTGATGCTGGGTAGCACCTCACTAAAGTCAATGGAAGCCCTTGAGGAGTGAACCTATATTTATGGAGTTAAGATATCAGAATCTGGCCCTTAACTCTCTCTGCTCTAGTTTTTCCATCTGCTAGATGGAGATATTAATCATACAAGGGTGTGATGAGGCTAAGCTCACTGCTTGTAAATTGCTTTGAGATCCTTCGCTGAAAGGGGCTACAGAAGTACCAGTATTACATGGAGTGCTAGTGGAAATTTATCGGTAATTATCTTAGATTATAATGTAGGGGTTTGGTTGCAATATACATTGCTTTGTCTTTTTAACTTCATAGATAATATATCTTATTTGGCAGAAGTTTGCTGTCTTTTTTTGGCCATGTGTCTGAACAATTCTCCTTCCTTCACCTCTCCTGAAAATTGATAAAATTGTTTAATTTAGAGACTAATGGAAATTTAAGAGTATGGGCAGCTGAAGAGCCCCCCACTTATTAGAAACTAAGCTCTTAAACCCTTCAGATAACATACTCTTGCACATGGCGTTTGTGACATGTCTGTGTCAGTACTCAGGGCTGGTTGCGCCTTTTAGTTTTCAATGTGAAATTTAGCAGGAGAAGGGTCATTGCAATTCATTCCCTTTCCAAAGTGTGAATGAATTGATCAGTGACTTGATGTGTTGAACGAGTCTTTAGAAGTCTCTGAATCAGTTCAGGTTCCTTGTTCCTGACTCTCACTGTCCTGTACCTTGTGTAGTCCGGTAGACCTGTGCAAAGTGGTGCTACCAGCACAGAGTAATGATGCTTTACATCTGCTTGATGCAGACGAAAGACTATCCAAGGTGAAAGGCAGTGGAGAACCAAGCCACTTCAATGCAGCATTAAATATTGCCATCACTGCTTGGCCTACGTGTCTGCTGTGGTTCCTTTGATCTTGCTTAGCTCAGCTCATTTGGCATGTGCTGGAAGCAACTCTGGGGAGCTTCATATTAAAATTCTGCTGTCAACTGGAAGAGAGGAGTGGGAGGGTTTATCAGCCTCTGAAGCAGTCCCTTGAAATAGTACTTGACTTACCACTGAAAGGTCTTAAAATCATGTCCCACTGAAGAGCAACATCTTGCCTTTTTGGAGTAGATCAAATTGCACCAAATGAGGCAAGCAGTCCAAAAATGCGCCCCAGAAATGAAGACCCAGGATTGCCCAATCCCCTCCCATTCCTGATCTCTGCAGCACATGCGCCCTAACAGGCGTGGCCTACTAGGTGAAGGTGGACTTTTTTTTAGCAAGGGTGGGGTGGACGGGACCTTGCATTGTCAATATAATATCGCTGCAGGTCGTGCTTCGAAACATCCCAGAGACCTAGTGTACTGAAGAGTTTAATAAGCAGGATGTTTTAACAGAAAACTGTTGTCCTTTTCATGGAGGTTGAAGTTCACACCTGGTAATCTTCTTGATACACAGAATGCACCCCAGAGGAGTTTTGGGATCGATTATGACAAGAACTACTTCCTCAAGGATGGGAAACCATTTCGCTACATCTCGGGCAGCATTCATTACTCCCGTGTGCCCCGGTACTATTGGAAAGACCGTCTGTTGAAGATGAAGATGGCGGGGCTTGATGCTATTCAAACGTAAGTAACTATTGACTTTTGGGAGCAGTCTTAAACCAGAACAACGAGGGAGAGGTAGGCAAGCTAAGTGTACAAGGCAACCTCTTTTTGATTATAGCTGACGACACCCTAGAGAATCCAGGAGCGCTGCAAATATGTAGCTGAGCTGACAAATGCTCCACTTCAAACTGAAACAAGTTATATAGCGCTCTACTTGCTACGCCTAATCTAATCTACAAAGCTTTTTATGATTTGGATCCTGTATCTTAAACTGCTTCTCTCCTTGTATTACAACTTGGCAGTTGAGATAAATTATGACACACTAGCCCACCTATATGTTCATGAGCAGGCATGGTTTGCTCAGTGGGGAGTGCCTGCATATTTGGAACTTAATCCCTCCCATCTGACACCATACAGCTTGTCTGTTTTCTAAGGAGCCCTGTGTGGGGGATGGATGAGTGAGTGTGGGTGCGTGGATGAGAAAAGAGGGGATTTGTTAGATGGTTCCAGACTGTCTCCTTGGGGGTTGAGTCCATCTTTATTTAGTGAGTTACAAAAACATACTTGTATTTCTAGAGCTGTTGGACTGCTGCTCTTTTATTAATCTAAGCCAGTAGCCAATGACTCCTGTCATACCAAAAAAGAGCCATTAGTAGAGTATTTGCTGGGTGGCTCCTGGAGATGTTGCTTCAAGGTGTACGAATAGTTACTTTTAAATTTGGTTATAAATTGCAATAACAATAATCCCAAATTGTTAAATGAATCTACACAGTGTCAACAGTTGGTCTGATTGCTCTTCTTTTCCTCTGTTTCCTAACCTTGACTACCAACCTAGGTGTAGTAGTATGCACTGCCTCTATGGCTCATGATCTCCAGAGTTTCTTATATGTTCCCCTCTGATTCTCTCTCACTTTTCTGCTCTGTTTCTTTCCTTTAAACCTTTTTGTTCCTTTCCTGCTATTTCAAATGCTTTCTCTTTCCTGTTCCTTTGAGATGCTTTACCTTCTCTCTGTTATTCTGTACAATAGGTCATTGTTTTTTCTGATGGATCTTCCTTTGTGTGATGGGTGGCTCCTTCATACCTCTCCTCATGCTGTGTCCTGGCAAAATTATTGCATTTTTATCCTGCTATTTTCTCTTTCTTCCCTGTTCTTTTTCCCGACTCATCTTTTTAAAATTTCTCTGCGTGTTGTTTGTTTTCACTGCTTTCTTGTTTTGTGGCTCCCATCCCTCCCTTTTCCCTCACTTAGCAAAAGGCTACACAGGATGCTTGGAGTGCTAGTGTCCATTGGTGGCTCTATGAGGCATGTGCTCTTGCAAAGAAAGGAAAGTAGGGCTGCAGAGGTATTCCCTGAGTATGTAGCGGTTGCTACTAGTTCAGGGATGACTGATAGGTACCTTCTTAAAGTACTTTTCTTACCTGTGCCGCAGGAGCACATTTACAGTGGGATGTGGGGTCACGCACAGGTGCTGACTTTTGTTTTTGCCAGTGGGTGCTCCTCTCTGCTCACTCCTCTCCCCTCCCCCGTGCAAGCAGTGGGCGGGGCCTCAAGGTGAAGAGGCCAAGCAGGGGTGGGGCCTTGGAGGGAAGAGGCCGAGCAGAAAAAGAAGTTGGTGGGGCCATGGTCCAGGCACTGCAGCCCACAAAATATTAATCCAGCTCTGCAGGTGCTGAGCACCCCCTATTTTTTTTTCGGTGGGTGCTTGAGCCCTGAAGCACCCATGGAGTCGGTGTGTAAGGAGTCACATAATTTTCTTCACTACCATTACTGTTCTTTTCCATATGCTTTCCTTGGACTAACCTCAGGTGGGTGGGGCTGCTCCCTTTCAGGTTGGAGGATGTCTGAGGTAAGTCCCAGGAACTCTATTGCTGCCGTGTGTGTGTGTGTGTGTGTGTGTGTATGTATGTATATATATATATGTGTGTGTATGTGTGTATATATATGTGTGTGTGTAAAATCAATCAGAAACTTTGCAGGTAGCCAGGCAAGCAAATTTTGATTAATGGGACTTAATGGTAACTTTTCACACTGACAAAAGAAAACTTGGATGTGGCTTGTGTGGATATTTAGTTAATGGGAGGGTGGGGGGGAAGATTGAGTGGATTTCTTTTTTTCTTCACTAATAAAACTTGGCTAAGATGAGTAAACTTCAAACGGATTTTACAAACTGTCCACCTGTGAAAATTAGTGCTTGCTTCTAGTTTTACCATTAAGTAAGTACTTTACTGATTTAGTTAACAATATAGACTGTGGAGAGTTATTTTTATGGAAGCTCAAATTCTGAGGGGAGTAGCTGTGTCTCAAGGAACTCCTTGCATGCCCAGCAGAGCTTCCATGTTTCATGGGATGAATGGCTGCAGCTTGACTCTTGGAGCTTCAGTATTCCATGGAGATTGCAATTGCTGTATTCAGACAGCTAAAAATAAATACTTTCCTGACATTGCCTTTCTGTGTAAACTGTTGGTGTAGTTGCCAAAGGGTTGTTAGATGATCATGAATTGGAGAGAAGATAGCATGTGTATTCATGCATTGGAGAAATATTGGTACATAAGACAATCTCTCTTACAGTGTTGTTTGCACTACAAAAAACAGGAGTTTGAAAATCCCTGGCTGAGACTACAGGTGATTTTTCAAAAGATGCAGTTAAGTAACTAACCACTAGATGGAGCCAGATATTTACAACACAGGAGAAATTAGTAGCAAAAGGGCTTCTTTGAAGAACCAACGGATACTGTTGAATTTATATGAAGGATGTTTGAACATCATAGGATGTTTGTTTTTAATTTTGTTAGCTGGTGGCAGATACATTTATACCTTTTGGAAACTCATTCTCCAAGAAACAGCTGCCTCTAGGTACTTGAAGTTTCAGTACTTTTTTTTTTTTTTTTTTAATGTAGATATTAGTTCTTAAAATCAAATAATTCCAGGAGTTTTGTAAAAAACCTTGTATCTTTTTAAGGGCTTTAATGTTACTCTGTTGGTTTTTAAAGTGACTCCCCCACTATGTAGGCAACTGGAAGAGAGAACACAGAACAGATATTATGTGGCCGGTTCAGCAACCTCGGATGTGCTGCTGTTCTCCACTTCATAAAGAATATAGTCTAAGCAACGGCAAAGTGTTTTAATGTAGAAAGCAAAAGAACCCTTTTCAGCAGTAGTAGTGACCTGGTAAACGATGAAAAAAACACTGATTCATCACGATAGTGATGGTGGTATATGTGTTCTTTCAGTGGCTTTAACTTGTGGGACAATGAATGTGTTTTAAAAGTAAGGGTGTAGCTTTTTATTTATTTATTTTGTCAGCTTTAATGATCCTATCTTAAATGGAAGCAGTCAGCTTGCCCCTCATTAGCCTTTCAAATCCAGGCAAGAAAACAAAACTGACATTTAACGTGCTTCCATTCATATTCAAATCCTTGGCTATAGAAGAGCCAAGTAATAAGGATATTGGAAACATTATAGATAGGTTGGGAAGGCAATTAAAATTACTTGCAAAGCTGAAAGGATGCATCTTGGCTGCACAGAAAATTGGGCAGATTCCTCCCTTGTGTTACAAATCTGAGAATTTCTGATATTTTGTAAGTAGTATATAACTTTTAAATACATCCATTTATGTAATCCACGCATGTACTGGTTCTTGTTTTTCCTCTATCGACAAAAGGTAGTATTGGCACTGCATTGTTCTCTTGGCTTTTTTTTACAAAACATAAAAACTTTTACCTTAAAAAAAAAATAAATAAAAAAAAATCCTAGAAGTGCTGTGTGAGAGGCTTTCTGCTTGACTACCCACCACTTCTGTTTCACAATGACTTTTCAGAGTTTTGAAGCTAGATGAGGATGCACAATGAATTATTTTTGCTTTTAATATATTTTATGACATTGATACTGTTAGAAAGGAAGAGTATGTGCAAAAAATACTGACTGCATGAAAAAATAGAGACATCTGTTTCCCTTCTAAGTTCCTGATCATACTTGGTGCTAACCTTAGCATCTTCAGCTTCTAGAAGTGCCTTACAGGAGCTAGGTCCTAAATTCATTCTTGTATTCCATTAGTCTGGAAGTAAATACATGTTTACAGAACTGTAAAGTTGAGGTGCAAATAGTTTGTTTCCTTGGCATTAGATTAAGTCATTATTTGGCGTTCCTTTTTCATTCTAGTCTAAGTCACTTCTTATGGATGGTGTTTTCTTCACAGGTACGTGCCATGGAACTACCATGAATTCAAACCAGGAGTATATAACTTCTCTGGTGACCGAGATATAGAATATTTCCTGCAGCTAGCTAATGAAATTGGCTTGTTGGTAATACTAAGAGCTGGACCTTATATCTGCGCAGAATGGGACATGGTAAATTTGTATTTAAACTTCCTAATTTCTAGGCAGAGTTAACATCTGATCTCTGTCTAATATGTGTCCTTCCTTTTGGTGGGAGGAGGGTGAGGGGGTTACAGTAGTAAAAGGATTCCCTACCACTGAACATATGGCCCAAGGGAGGATTCTTCATCTAGAATACTGAAAGTTGTAGGTTCAAGTTCTGCTTAAGTGACTTCCTATAGCCTCAGGCGTGTTGGTCCTTAATATGGTCTTGGGTACTATAGGTCTAGGGTGACCAGATGTCCTGATTTTATAAGGACAGTCCTGATTCTTGGGTCTTTTTCTTATATAGGCTCCTATTACCCCCCACCCCGTCCCGATTTTTCACACTTGCTGTCTGGTCACCCTATGTAAGTCCCCAATGACTAGTACTTACTTGGTAATAGCTATATAGTTATGGAATAGCTAGTTAAACTTATCCTTGTAATTCCTGAAAATGGTCATTGAAATGGTTTCCTTTCCCTTCACAGGGGGGTCTTCCAGCATGGTTATTAGAGAAAGAATCTATTGTTCTCCGATCTTCTGATTTAGGTAAGGAGCTCAAAAAGATCTATAAAAATGTTTCAATGGCAAGCAGACTTGGTGGCCAAACTCTAGGGCAGGGGTCGGCAACCTTTCAGAAGTGGTGTGCCGAGTCTTCATTTATTCACTCTAATTTAAGGTTTCACATGCTAGTAATACATTTTAACGTTTTTAGAAGGTCTCTTTTTCTATAAGTCTATAATATATAACTAAACTATTGTTGTATGTAAAGTAAATAAGGTTTTTAAAATGTTTAAGAAGCTTCATTTAAAATTAAATTAAAATGCAGAGCCCCTTGGACACAGGACCCAGGCAGTGTGAGTGCCACTGAAAATCAGCTCGCATGCCGCTTTCGGCACATGTGCCATAGGTTGCCTACCCCTGCTCTAGGGTCAGGCAGTATTTTCAAATATGGTATTGTGTTACTGTTTCTACTAAAAGTTGGGGAATAAGAAATGTGAATGCTCTCTGAATAAGGTTTTCATACTCACTGAATACTTTTGCACTGTGCATAAATGTATGGAAAGAATAAGGTAGGCACAGGGTGGAAAACAGCAAGACTACTTGTGTAAGGATTTGCAGGGTTGGACCCTTAAATTGTAAAGGATAATGTTCTTTAAGGTAACTGGATATTTTTCTGTTTTGTGGGGACATTACCACCTGTTTTTAGACTGTACTATATTGGAATGATTCGGGTGTGGTCCTTGAAGCCACTTGACTTCCCTACGTACCGAGACGCTGAAGTTATGAGCAAGTACAGGATGTCATCAGTTCATTATTTGTTGCTCTTGTACATGTTGTGCATACCCTTGGTATTTAGGGTATTGGTTACAAAAATATCCCATATGTAGTTTGTTTTTGTTTTAAAGTAGATGAACTCTGGTCTACCCACAACTTTTTCTTTGTATATTCCAGATTACTTGGCAGCTGTAGAAAGGTGGATGGGTGTCTTGTTACCCAAAATGAAGCCTCATCTCTATCAGAATGGAGGGCCAGTTATTATGGTGCAGGTAATCCATTTCAGAAATCAAATGGGAACACTAACTATGTGAATGCAAAAGGCCTTTTGGTCACCATTATTGAATTATTAACAGTGCTGCCACAGGTATGTTTCCAGTAATGTACATGGGTGCTCTTTAAAATTAAAATAATATTTGCTCTTCATGATAACTGGGATTAAAATTAGTTTAAACTGTATCACAAACAAAAGGGTCTGGTGTCTGATAATATTTTAGTATGTTATCCTTGCATCTCCAACATTTTAACAAGTGAAGTTTTGAGTGTCGGCTTTTAGTCCTTAGTGTAGATGTCTCTTTACCACTTGGAAAGAGACTGCGCGTGAGGATGTGGTGAGCATGGCCACTCACTCACACAAGTAATGTATTACTAGCCAACCTGCTTGCCTATATTGTTGATACATAGCTCATGTTGAAGCAGCTCAGCGAAAGCCAGCACTTCCTGAGACTCAGGGACTCTTGAATCAAACTAATTTCTTAACATCTCTTCTGCTTCTCCCTCTCCTTGCTCCCCTTTTCCTTATTACGTACAGAATCACCTGCAGGGCTTCCCTGCAACTCCCCACCAAAAGTATGAAATGCTGGCTCTGTTGAAGTCAATGGGAGTTTTTGTCATTCACATCAATGGAACCAAGATTTCACCCCAGGTCTTTTTCCCCTGAGGCCTGTTGGAGATTTTCTTGCTAAATCTTCTGTGCACTTGCCGTCCCTTTATCTTAAGTCACTTTACAAAGCTGCGTTAGTAGTAGTATCACCATTCTACAGGTAGATCAGGCCCAGAGAGTGAGTAGCAGAGTACTAGTAGATCTCAAATCTCCCAGCTTTTTGATCAGTCCACTGTTGATGGGTTTGTTTGTTTGTTTCTCCTTATCTTCTAGTATCTACAACTTTGCTAAGTGGCTTCACAGAGAAGACTAAACCACAGCTGCCCTTCCCTTTCCTCTTCCTTTGCCTCCTGCCACCCTCCCATCACTTATTCCCTTGCTTCCTCCCATCCCTCCCTGCATGACTTGGACATTGTTTGCAAGAATTGGCAGTCCCTGTTTAGAACAGGAGTCAGGAGTACAGCAAGCCTGCCTTAGAGTGCTCTGGTAAAGCTGTGTGGGGAGACATGCATAGGATAATCCCCCACAATGCTGGGCTCTAACCAGTGCCATCTGTTTCAGTCGCCCAAGCACCACAAGTTACTCAAAAAAAGAGTCTGAAAGCTATGCCATGACACAGTTCAGTGCTTTTTATTGCTGTTAAATGGAACGTTCTCTTTACTTAGCTTGATAAAGCTCTAGAGCAGCAGTTCTCAAGCCACGGGCTGCATGCGGGCCAATTAGCACACAGCTGCAGCCCAGATCAGCTGTGTGCTAAAGGTTGTAGGTTCTGGGCTCCCGGATGCCTTGCCGCGGGCTCCTGGCTGCCCTGCCACGCAGCAGGCTCCAAGCTTCCGGCGGATTTTGGGGTCCCAGTGGGGTCTGGGGCCTGGGGTTTGGGCAGCTGGCTGCCTCACGGTGGGGCTTGGGGTCCAGGCAGCTGGCTGCTGCCCGGCTCCACACGGTGGGGGTCAGGGTCCCCGCGCAGAAGGGTTCGGAGTCAGGGTCCCTGCCCCATGCCCAGCTCTCCACTCCTAGCCCCACTCTGTGGAGGGGTCTCTGGATGGAGGGCGCTGGGTATAGGGGTGTGTGTGTGTGTGTGCGTTAGGTGGGGGAGCACCGTGGTTCTCAATTTGCAGCCCAGCTAACGCTTTGTGGGCCACATCTGCAGCCCACAATGATAAATAGGTTGAGAACCACTGCTCTAGAGTATCTAGCCTGACAAGACCTACTATAGCTAGGAATGAAAGAAAGATAAAATACCTTAAATATTTGGCCCTGGTGCTTCCACTGGTTATTACAGTGAACAAATTAAGCATTAAGGTTCGGATTTTGAAAGAAGGTTTCAAAGACGCACTTTCAGGGTGGATTGATTTAAATCAGCGATTTAAAGCATGATTTAATTCACCCAGTGGAAAACCTCAATTTAAATCATCCATTTTAATCAATTTTACAATTTCTACTTCAGTTATTTTCTAAAGAAAGGTGCATTTTTATTGGTTGATATAACATTAAAACATGTTGATTTACAACTAAATAGAGCCTTTACACTAGATTTGGTCCATCTTTTTGTGGGTCCACTATAACTTTATATATTTATTTATGTAGTTATGTAGCTTAATATTTTCAGATTCTTATTAACTGTACATTTTTAGTATGTTAGAAAATAGTGAATGATGATTAACTTTTTGCTCATAATTTGTGTTAAACCGCATTAAGTTGGTAATTGGAATTTAATTAAACACACAAAAGAGCATATAAAATTTATTTTTATTAACCAAAACACTTTAAGTGATTTGGATATATAAACTTCGCTTATCAAAACAGGTTTCACATTTACTACAAATTAAAATTAGTTTACCCCTTAACATATTTTGTATTATATTCAGACTTAATTTTAAACAGGTTTATTTTTAAAAAGAAAAACTGTTTATAATTAAATAATAAAAAACCTGATTTACATTAAAAAAATCCAATTTTTTTTAAATCATCAGTTTTTATCTACCCTGCTCACTTTTATGCCTGCAGTTAGTCATGTATGCATATGATAGGGACTCAGCTACAAAACAAGTAGTTAAGAAAGTATGTCCTGTGTCTTGTTTGCAAAATTAGACAGTGGGATGAGGCCCATATAAACATTTCCCACTAATTTAGCCATGGATCTACTGGCTAGGATGGTGATTGTTTGTCAGAACAGGATATTGCAAGTAAAGAGATTTGGGTTTGACCCAACTTTGCTTCTGACTCACTGCGAAGCCTTAACCCCTCTGTGACTTCCTTTGTCAAACTGGGATAACAGTGCTTACCCATTTTTTGAAAGTACTTTGATATTGCTAGATGGATGCTAGGATAAAAGTACAGTATTGTTATTAACTGCGATTGGAGTTTCATGCATAGAACAATTTAACTGGATCTCAATATTAAATCTCTTCAATATTATGGAGTCTGGTGGCACCTTAAAGACTAACGGATTTACTTGGGCATAAGCTTTCGTGGGCAAAAACCTCACTTCTTCAGATCTGAACAAGTGAGGTTTTTACCCACGAAAGCTTATGCCCAAGTAAATCCGTTAGTCTTTAAGGTGCC